TGCTATATCTATGTACAGAATATTGTCAACGAACATAGATCAAACTCTAAGAAGAAAACAACAAAATATTGCTTATTCCTTTTCTTTAATTTTTTAAATAATACTTCATTTGTATGCGAAATAGAAAAGAATATTAATTCGTCTTTATTACACCTAGAAAAAGAATAAAGTGCAAACGAAGACTGCATTCGATTTACTGTGATGTAAACTAAGATTCGATTTCTCATTGTGAACTTCGTAATAAAAGTATACAAGTAGATATTGAAATTTTGCATTAATAAAAAATACTTCTCTATGAAAATCGAAACAAGATTGCTTCTTGCAATACATATGTGGCCTTATAATAATAAAAACGTTCAATATTAATCCTAGATCGTATAATAATACATTATTTTTAGAAAGCCATTAATCTCGTCAATGTTCTCAAGACAAAAGCAATGTAAGGACATCAATTTGTTTTTACTAAATTCACATTAATAATATTCTTCAAATCATATTGTTATAATCTAACCATGTGAAAATCAAAAAGTATCAAGTTCTGATTATTTAAATCTGGATTTATTTCGCAAAAATACCACGGAACCAATCTAAATACAAAATAAAATACATACAGGTATCTCTTATTATTTTATTTCTTGTTAAAATCACATAGGATTCTTTTATGGTTTCGAAATATGGATTCTAGATTTCTCATTATTATTTTCTTTGTTCTATAGAACTCATTTTGAATTAAAATCATGGAGAAGATCTTTTCATTATTTACTTAAGTATTGGTTTGTCTTTATATAAGGCTGGTCGCATTCAATTACAGACGGAAGCTCTGTTCTTTCCATTTCAAAAAAAAATTAATTGTGTTTGGATATTGAATAGCAAATGTTATTTCAAATAAATGAAATAGGCTTCGATAAAACAAAAAAAACATAACGGGTGTTCCATAAAGAATGGCCAGCTTTTGTTTTCTGTCTTTGAGGCACTTAATAATCGTCTTAAGATCTTGTTCTGAGCTCATTCGATAGAGAATTCATTTCTCTACAAAATCATCTCTTGTCGAGTTTTGTCGAGTGAAAAATGGCCAAGTTATTCAAAAAATACAAGCAACAGCCAAAACTGGCAACTTTCTAAGCGAAAATAAGGAAGTGCTTTGGGTGGGTTTGGTTCACTCAGATTTATTTCTGAATCATAAAAAACAATTCCCTAGTGCAGACAACTGTCCTCTTTTTGGTGTCCTCTAAAAAAGATTGAGTTCCAAAAAATAAACTCATATGGAACTCCTGACTTTTCGCGAAACACTTGAAAACTCCTATATTCTATGTTCGTGTGGTAATCCACCCCAAACAATAGGCAGCATCGTTTCTGTGACAAGGTTTAGTGGCACATTAATTAGTTAGCTTGAAAACAGAAAAGCATTTTCCGAAAAATAATGACTTTTGAGTGAACTGCATGGATTTCCGTCAAAGCGCCAAAACACAAACTGAGAGTAAGATTTTTTTCAAAATCTGAAAAAAGTAATATGCGGCTACACTTAGATTTTTCAACAAAAAAAATTAGACTAGTTGCATGGTATAGTAAATTTGACGCTCTTTCACATGGTGTACTTATTTTTATTTTAAGTTAAAACAATGAGCTCGAAATTCGAAAAAAATGCTTGTTTGACTTAGAAAGTTGCCAGTTTTGGCTGTTGCTTGTATTTTTTGAATAACTCGGCCATTTTTCACTCGACAAAACTCGACAAGAGATGATTTTGTAGAGAAATGAATTCTCTATCGAATGAGCTCAAAACAAGATCTTAAGACGATTATTAAGTGCCTCAAAGACACAAAACAAAAGCTGGCCATTCTTTATGGAACACCCGTTAGATTGAGATATGTTACTTACTCAATAATAAAATATTATCAATCAAATTATTTCAGGTGTCTTTCTAGTTTGTGCAATCAATAACAACAATCATTTCTATTGAAGATTTATTATTACAACGAATGAAATTAAAAATCAAAGAGAACAAAATACATTCTCGTTGTGTTGGTGAACAGTACACTCTTTGTATAGGAGCTTGGGTAAAATTCTTTAACTTTCGTGTCTATTTTTCCTTTATCACAGTTATTCAATATTATTTTTTCTCGCAAATGCAATGAGATTGATCCATAGCACCATCGATTTTCTCATGATTACTCTTATGATTGAACAAAAAAGGATTTCGACAATTAGCATATGTGATGTGTGAATTTGAGCGTTAGTATGCATCGAATTCTCATTGAAGTCTATGCTTCCGGGAACTAGAACCTTGTGAATGAAGATGTCAAATTATTAAAGGCTGCGTCCCCCTCCAAAAAGTCGATTTTTCGTCAAAAAAATGGATCTTGAGATAAACACATGGGTATGATGCTTAAGTAGTCTACTTTACAAATCCGTAAAGATATTATTGAATTTCTATAATTTCTTATGGGATCTTTGTAAAACAATCTTAAGTTAGTTGAGACTGTTATTACTTGTGCAGATCCAAAAAAATGACTAGTTACTTTTTCATTATATATTTATTTTATTTCAAAATAAACACAATAAAAAGCTGATAAAAGTTGGGTGTGGGTGTGGATGCGCATCCGGGTCTATTTCTTTATCAAAAGCCACACCCACACCCACACCCTCACACCCCACCCACACCGACAATTACGAGATAAGAAGAAAACCAGAAGAACACACATGTTAGTTTAGACAAAAAAAAAGTATTCTTAAAGATAAATAAACAAAAAACCATTCACTATATGTATGAGCTTAAGACTTAAAACAACAGAAGGATGAACTTAAGAAATAAAATACAAGTCCGATAAAGAAAAATAATTTTTTGTACACAATTTAAATTTTATTTTTTGGTATAATTTTGTCTTTCAAGAACATAGTAAAGCACAAATTTTCTGCACTCAATCGTGCTCGTTATTTTCGATTAACACATGATGAAACTGAAAAATGCTGATTCCGACGAGATGCTGGTGCCCGGTGTTGATAAATAGCCTCGGGCTAGTTCTGATAAAATAGGTAAATGAATAAAGTTTTTCTTCCAAAAATCAAGTGATGATGTTACAGTCAAGGATTGATTGCTGTAGAAGTCGATCATGGTTTTTTTTTATAAAGTTTTAGTTCTTCATTGATGCTTAATTTGTTATTGCTTAGCTTCGGTTCAATAACAACTTCAGCTTGACCACATGCAATTAAAAACTGGTCAAATGTTGATGCTTTTGGCTGATTTCTTGACGATGATGGTGTAAAATTTGTTGCAATTGATGGTATTGGTAAAACTTGATCTTGAAAAATTGTCTCGTTTTTCACTATATCTTTTATTTTGTTTTCTATAAATTGAATGTCGTTTTCATTCAACGCGAAATATTCGTTTGAATCAAAAAATGAGTAAAACTAAAAATAAGCAAAATCTTATGAAAAAGTTCATTGAAGGACATCAGATTCTAGATATGGGAAAAGGAAGTAGTAGATTTCCACTTCGAACTACTTGAACTTGGTATACATCCAGGTACGCCTGATTTTCGACTAAAAAACTTTTCAGACTGACCCGAAAGGTTATCGGGCTATTCGATTGCTTGATTTAGTTTTCTAATCAATTTACCAAAAAATAAAAAATTGTATGAGAAGAGCCTGGAGCCTGTAGTGAATACGGCTACACATTTTCATGAGAATGCTGTGCTTAGCGATGCAACATAATGCTTATCAATGTGAAATACTGCTCATTCATATTATTTTCTATGATAAAGTACTTATAGTTAGCACTTATTCATATAAAAGTACAATTCTAGGACTCTTTTGAGCAGGATAGCATAATAAGCAGTATGCCATTCTGCGGAACAATCCAATCCAATCGAACACTACGTTGTTATGAAAATACACATCACTCAGGACTACGAATCAAGTCAACTTTTCATAGTGTTTCTCTTCTAGAAATTCTCACAGGTTGCTTTTCACATCGTTGTTTGTGTTTATTTCAATAAGTAAATCACGCAGATCGATATTTTATGCTGATCATCAGTGTAATGTTATACTTTCAAAAAGAAATAAAGCTTTGTCTAGTAATACACTATTAACCGTAAACCATCTCCCGTGGCTGAGGGTGTGGGATGTGGGTGTCTGCCTTTTTTTAGACAAACCCACACCCACACCCACTTGATACTGATGCATGAAGATTTACTTACGTTTCTTTTCAATAAATAATAAAATAAGATGATTGAAGTTGTTTTCTGTAATACTTGAGAAACAGAATCCTTGTGAAATGAAGAATCAAAATTTCTACAAAGGATAAGACTATTTCTTAATTGATATGTATTAACCGATCCAAGAGAGTGTTTTATTTGATTTAATCTTAATCAACCATCATACAAATTAGGTAAAAATCTTAAATGAATACATCGGCGGGCCACCATTGGGGCAAGGTCGGGCAGTTGCCCCACCCAGAATTTTTATTCTCATAGATGCGATTCGTTCATTTTTTTCCTACAGCTGATATAGATATTTTAATAATTTTTGTCCCACCAAAAACAATTACCCTGGCCAGCCGATGAATGAATATCAATTAAAATTAAGTAGTTTCCATTCATCTAACTCACCAATTCGTTGAATATAATAAAAAAAGAAGGACGGTCGTTAGTTATCGAAAATATTGATAAATTCAATGGTATACTTCTAAATATTTCCATTTTTCTCTATCGGATACTAGATTCTTGAAATAACTAATGACGACCAAAGCTCGAAATGAGATGATTTTTCCGTTTCTCTCTCCACCCCATTCCATCCCGAAAATATGATGATGACATCAGCGTAGAATAAGTTTAATTCTTATAGAAGATAATATAGCTATACAATTCAAATGTTTAAAAACTAAATGGAAGCATATTTCAGTTACTAAATATTAAATTTCACTTAGTTTATTGTAGTCAAGTTTAAAACTCGACACAGCTCCATGATCGAATATCATAGTAATATCTATGAGCCTTTCATGTGAACTAGGAATAACGAAGTGGCTCGTACCAATAATAACAATAGATTCCCCCGGATCGACTCCACCATCGTGCTTTACATTGACGGGTTTTTTTTCTCACAGTTTGATCAATTTTGGCAAATTCATAGTTTGTTTTACATTTTTTTTGTTCATATCTGGATGTATGCCCACGGACGCGTACCACCTTAATAACATGATTATTTATCTTGTTGTTTTTATATTGATTAATAATTTGACCGAATTGAGGATAATTAATATTATCTTTCTTTTTGGGACGTGTAAGAAGTTGTTCAACTTTTGAGTTATCCGTATAGATAATTAATGTATTGTAATGTTTTTCTAATGCATATTGTATGGCAAGAAATGCAGCAAGAACTTCTGTCTCAGTACTGCCATTTTTTGGATGGCAAGGATAATAAAGACGAACTCTATGCTCTCCATCCGAAGCTCGAAAACCAGAATGACCTATTTGCTTGTAATGAGAATAACTACCATCACAATAACAAATCAATTCTCGTTCTTTGATTGAAGGCGATGGAAAAACTTGAGCAATTGATTTATTTATTTCAACAGTTGATATCGCATAAATATCCACACTAACAACACAACTAGTACGAGATGTCGGACTCGAAAATAAACCAACGTTGTGAAGGATCGGAATTTTTTCGATAGTAACAATCAACGGAAAATGCACTGAAATAGTATCATACAAGTTACCTGTTGTATCTTCACATTGTGACAATTCTTTTTTATTTTCATTTGTTGCTATTTCTGGTTGTTTTTGTCTATCAACATCAGAGATGCTGCAAATAACATGATAGATACTGCAAATAACATGATAGATACTGCAAAAAACATGATAGATGCTGCAAATACTGATTACAATCAACATAAAAATAATTCCAAACATAACCCAACCGATTGTAAATGCGCATCCATCTTCACATACATCATCGCTCACTATTATTAGAGCATTGCCCATAAATACGGTGTTTATTTTAATACTTCTACGGCAAATACAACATAATACAAAAAGAAATGTGTGTCTGAGTTGACAAGAAATAATATGGAAAAAAGAACGAGCAGCACACGTATACGCAAAATCACTGTCACGAAAACAAATCATCGACAAATAAGCCAAGCAACGAATTCTGTCCTGGATGAAAAATGTTTTTTTTCTTTTTATTATATTAGACGTATCAATAATAGTGAAAAAGAAAAAAACTATACAGTTTTTACTTCTTTTTCTATATTTAACACCAACTTATGAATAGATTTTAATGTATTGATGGAAAAGTAACGGGTGGCACATGTTGAATGAGGGTCCACGAAAATTGGTCGAACGAAAATTGTAATAGAAGTACAAAAGCTTTTTTTTAAAGCAGCCTGAACTTTGTACTGTAAAGCTGAAACTAGCACTAATTGCATTATCATGCTAATATTAGAGGAAAATAGTGATTCGGACAAATAAATTAGGCATGCATAATAAACAAAAAATAGTTTAGAACTTACGAAGAAGACTTTCTAATTATTTTAGTAACGTTACCTGCTTTGAGAACACGGTGACTACCTCAACCACACCCACACCCACACCCAAATTCAAAATCAAACGTAAGTATAATTTTCATCGAAGAATTCTTATTTTTATTCTTTTAGTTGAGAAACGAACTTCGAATTCCAGCGTACGTATAATTTTTTAAAAGTAATTATTATATTTTTATTCTTTTAGTTGAATATCAAGTTCATGGGTGATTCTTATTTTAAAATGCATAGTCTTCTAATTTCTTTTATTCAGGTTAGTATCAATATCAAAAGGAACAGTAAGTAATATTTGAATTAAACTAATAATTATTCTATTTTAGTTTTGGTCGGACAGCTTGAACAATAGGAAATATTTTTAATTTTTAATTAATTTTCTATTTTTTCCAATTAGATTTGCTTCAATGACTCATCAAACTGAACACGACTTTTGACTAAAAGTAAGTTTCCCGAAATCCGTTCGAAGGGTATTTGTTAAATCCTAATATCACGTTGATATGTGTGGGTACAATTTTCCTTAACTTCTTGTTTTATTTCCAATCTTCGAAAATCACACACACTCTCTCTTTTTCACTTCTCTTATCTCTCTCGTTGTTCCTGACTAAACTGCGCAAAAAGAGAAGAAAACAAAGATTATAATGGCATGATCTATTCACATCCTGTTTAGCTTTTGTGAAACACGACCTGAAAGGAGTGTTGAAGTGTTTAGGGTAGAAATTTGCACCCACCCTCCCCCTCCCCCCACAGACCGTTACCGACAGGTAATTCCCCCATCACAGACCGTTACCGACAGGTGATTCCCCCATCACAGATCGTTACCGACAGGTGATTCCCCCGTCACAGACCGTTACCGACAGGTAGTTTCCCCCATCACAGGCCGTTACCGACAGGTGATTCCCCCATCACAGATCGTTTTTCAGATGAGAAAAGAAATAGAGAGAAGAGAGAAAACGAATCAAAGTTATTCGACCAAAACAATAGAACGCAAGTATAGGAGAGAAAGACAAAGAATAAACTAAAGAACATGTAACAGAACGGAAGAAAATATAATAACAAAAACACAACACAACATGTTTTATGGCATATCATTTATGACATAACAGTATTTGAAAGGGTTTAGTAAGATACTAAGCTCTTCTGTAAACCCTTCTATAAACCCTTTAGAAGGATTTATTATTTTCCTAAACCCTTTCCTAAACTTTTGCATGGGGTATATGAAAGGGTATATTGATTTCATAAACCCTTTTATATACCCTCCTAAAGGATTTAGGATAGGGTTTATTACTTTCCTAAACCCTATCCCAAACCCTTTGGAGAGGTCTAGGATTGTTTCATGTACCGTAAAAACGGTTTGTGGTACGTTGCACTTTAATAAACCCTTTTAGGGTTTATTATTCTGCGTTTTTTTCTACAGTGTAGGGCTAGGGTATGATTCTCGTAGGGTAGGGGAGGGTTAAGGTACGAAAAAAAGGTAGGGTAAGGTAGGGTAACGAAATTCATACCCTTGCAGGACTATAAAGGCTTCACAAAAGTGTTATTGCGTATTTATTAATGTTTATCAAGGTAGACTTCTAGAATGATGTGTTTAAAAAGCGAATAAGCAACTAGTCGGCAAAAGACGCACGGCCGACAGCATCGAAATAAAGCTGGAAAAATAAGTGAAACTAATTGTGTCACCAACCAGATACATTTTAGTTCAATGTGATCTCCGCAGGATGATTCGCAGCAATTGCATCGTACATTTTGTTCCCACTTGTCTCACGACCGACATATTTACCTGGCTCCTTGACTGGCTGTTCAATTGCCAAGAATTCAATACATGCGTTTACGTAATCTTGACAATTGTTAAAGAGAAAATTATAATCTGTATCGTTGAAACTACTTCGATTGGTATATTGTTCGACTTCAGCAACGATTTTTCGGGTACAACCGACACGATAATAGTAGATTGGACGTGTATCATAAAATCTATACTCATCGAATCGAATTTTGATACGGCCTTTTCCACCTGAAGAGCATTTACTACCTTGGCCAGCACCTACATCGGTGCCTGAATGCAGTTCAGTACAGTAAAATTTGTTTCTTACTTTTAATAGACAAATGTGATGAGAAACCTTACAATCAGCAGTGTAACATTCCTTGCCCAGTTTTTTAAAATAAGACGTAAACTTCAGTGAGCGAACCATCGGGATTGTGAACCGTCGGGGTACTGTCAGCATTACCCATTTTTTTTTACTTTAAAACTTCGATGTTTGTGCGTGTACGTTCAGAAAAATGAAGAAATGAGTTATATTGACGCAATTTAAATGATAAGAAAGAAACGAAAACAGTTGCGTCTATAGTGAAAGTGAGAAGGGAAGAAGAACAGGAAATAATCATCGGAGTAAGTCTCAGCAAGAAAAAAGGAATAACATAGGTGAGGGTGTGGATGTCGCTGCCAGTGTCAGCTATTGCTTCGGAGATCAAAACCGCACCCACACACCCAGGAAACATGTGGTTCCAGAATTCAGAAGTTCCTCAACTCATCCTACTCTCCCGTCTTGCAGAAAGAGAGGTTTATATGGAGACACGAGTCTAAAATCTAAAAATTTCTTAAGTTCAACTGTTCTCTCCGTTCGAAGAAAAAAAGAGTATTTACTTCGGCGTTGCAAGGTTGCATTCCTCCATATTATTCGTCCTAGTCACATTTTTTCTTGGATAAAGTGCTGGTGTGAACATGCATCTTCTTTAAGTCAATGCTCACTCACATCAACCCACGCCCTTCATGAATACGTTGGAAAAGCACAGAAATTCACTCAACTTTAACTGCTGAGTTAGAATATCATATTACATTTTATTCAAAGATTGCATTTCAGACTGAATCATGCTGATAACAAAGCACAATGATCACAAAATTAGTGACTGAACATCGTTTTTTCGAGATCTCAAATACTGATTAACGTTTTTCCTTTGATGGTTTTATACCATTTTGTAACTCAAGCACTTCTGAATTTGAAAAACTAAATTTTTTTAGTGGTCTTTGATAATTCTGCAATCCTTTTATCAGCAAGTAGCGGAGGTGTATTTTTACAGTATGCATTTTATACTTAAACTGATAAAGTCGGACAATATTTCATTCTGCTTGTGAAATGTTGAGTTATTTGATATGAGAAGAAAGTGAAAACCGAGGCGAATAACGGTTCTCTTGGGTATAGAAATTGATTTTGTACTGTAAAAACGATGGAGGTTTCATAAGTGTTCGTCAGCTAAAGTAGCTTAGCTGATCCGAATTACTCCAGAGGATGTGGGTGTGGATGTGGATGTGGGCGTAAATAAAATCAGGAAACCCACATGCGCCCACACCCACACCCACCCGCACACTCCACACCCTCAAGATAGCTCTATGAAAAAACAAAGACGAATCTCAAAAAATTTCATAAAACCCTCATTTTAGGAAGTTATAAAAACGAATTAAAGTGGATCACTTAAATCTCGTATTCAACAGATAATAGTATTTTTGCAATGAATTTCAATACAATGTTTAATCAAGTTCGCTGCTAATATGACAAATAGAAACAGTTTGTTTTTTCAACAGAAGTTAATCGATTTATTGCTCGATTCCATAAGTTAAGGATAAAAATAGCTTTGGCATAGGATAAAGAGTTAAAGGTAGCAGAAAGAATAAAAAAGAAAATATCATTTTAGTAGATTTTAGTTTCAAAGAATACTTCAATATTAATATACACTGAAAAAAAAGGTTCCATACGGAACTTAAAAAAGGTTCCGAGATTTGCAACGAAATCTAAACCTTTTTTCGGTTTCGTATAAATATGGTTTCGTATGGAACCATTCCCAGTTAGTATTCAAAATGGTTTCGTACCTCAAATAACCTCTCCATTCGACTGCAATGCCTCTGCGTTTGCACTAATACTACCATTCACGCTTCCATTACAATTCAGGCAACTATTCCTTTGTTAACAAGTTCATTCCTTAATTTATATCTTAACTTTTAAATGTATACCCTATGTTAACCTCTTACTCTACATCTAGCCCTTAATCTATATCCTTATTCTATATCTAACCCTTAATCTATATCCTTATTCTACATCTAACCCTCATTGTATATCTAATTATTAATCTATATCCTTATTATATACCTAACCCTTATTTTATACCTGACCCTTATTCTATATATAACCCTTAACCTAAACCCTTAACCTATATCTAAATGGTTCACCGTTTAGATTTTTGTTTTACAATAATCAATAGCAGTGTGTGAATATGGATCATCGTCAACTGATAAAAAAAGACCGATTCACATCCTAAACAATCAGCAAAGTATTTTCATCTCTTCAAACTCACAATTGTTTTTTTTCTCTGTTCGGATTGACCTAAAACGAGAAAAATTCTAATATTATCATTGTAGTTTTGCCAATGATACATTTTGTTGTGATAAATGTAAATAGACACTCTATGTTTCTATTATTTTTTTATGGTAATCGTCTTATGTCAATTGTGATCCGATGATTGTGAAGTGAAAAAACACGTTTGTTATTATGATAGTTACCGTGGATTTATTTCATGATATAAGGCCGGGGGGGGAAATCGTTTGTGTATTTGGTATTCCTAATGTGAATCTTGTTAATGGA